GAGGAGCCAGAGTCAGGGTAAGGGGGCACATGGAGAGCTGCTCCAGTTGTCGGCTTAGCTGCTGCTGCTTCCAACATCCAGGGCAGAGAGTTTTGTCCTTGTTTAACATGTATTTATGATTCCCACTCCCCCACACCCCATGTGAGTATACTTTGGCCCTGTAGCCATTACTTCCTGTGGGGTGTTGGGGGAAGGGCCCTGGGCCAAGTCCAAGGGGCTGAGTTTGAGGGTGTGCGTGGAGGGCATGTTCCAGGCCTGGTGGCTCCCTTGTTGACAGAGGTCCTTTGCAGGTCATCTCTCTAAGCCCTAGTTTTCTCATCTGGAAGTGGGGTTTGACTTGAGACAAAAGTTAAGAACATGAAAGAGTGTTGAGAAGTCTCTAGAAGTTGTTGGATGGTACTTGTAACAACCCTGGGGTGAAGATTCTGGAGGGGCAGTTCTCCTGCCCACAGAAACCCTTTTTCTGGTGAGGATGGTTGTGTGGGGTTGTCCACACTCCAGTGCTTACACAGGTGGCTTTGTGGCCCTGGTAAGAGCACTTGGTTTAGAACCTGAATGACTAGGAATAGATGCTTCTGCCCTGACCTGGTAAGACAGTACTCCTGGGGAAAGAGGGAGAGGAGGGGCTGAGAGCCAGTTCAGTAGGGGGCACGTGTCCACCAGAGGTACAGCCAGGGCCCAGGGCTGCTGGCCTTGGAAAGAGCTGCCTCCTCTCTGAAGTGGCCACTGCCCCCGCTCTGTCCCTGGTTAATAATTTAGTCTCTTATCCATGTGAATAGAAGCTGAGTGATAGTTTTAAGGCTGGAGAGAACAAGGCCCAAGGGTGGGAAGAGCAGGGGTCCAGGGCTGCAGGGCTGGGACTGTGAGTCAGGCTCTGGCTCCAGGAGTGGCTTTTCCAGGCCACCCTGTCTCCCTCCCTTGGGGGCAGGATGCATTTCTATCCTGGGTCTCAGAACCTTGTGATCAGATAAGAAGACAGGATAGTGAAACTGGAGATTGTGCTTTTCCTATTCATCCAGTCTCTGTGCCTTGGCCTAGACATGTTGTTGTTCTGTGCCCTTGAGTTGGCCCCGACTCACTGTGACCCCTCCTTGGGTATCCGAGGTGGTATCACTACGAAGTAGATTGCCCAGCCTTCCTTCTGAGGAGTGGCTAGTGGGTTTGAACCGCCAGCCTTCTGGTTAGCAGTCAGGTTCCTTAGGCGCTATGCCACCGTATTGCTTTTTAGCAAAACTCTGCTGCCTCTGAGCTCCCGCCCCCTCCTGAGCTCCCCAGCAGGGACAGGGTTTACACCTCTTTGCACCCTGGGTGTTTAACAGCCCATTTAATAGTTATTACGCAGCACTTAGCAAGCACTAGTGTTGCTATTGAGTCAACTCCGACTCATGGTGACCCCATGTGTGTCACAATAGAGCTGTGCTCCATAGGGTATTCAGTGGTTGATGTTTGGAAGTAAATTGTCAAGGCGTTCTTCTGAGGTGCCTCTGGGTGAACCGCAAACTTGTAGTTCGCAGCTAAGCGCACACTTTAACCATTTACGCTGCCCAGGAATTCCCATATTAACCACTAACTCTCATTGTGAATATTAATCCATTAAACCTCATAATGACCCTATGAAGTACCATCATTATCCTCATTTTGCAGATGAGAAAACTGAAGCCAGAGAGGTTAAGTGACAGGTCCAAGGTCCCATAGTTAGATGGATGATGGAAGCAGAATTCCAATCCAGCCAGTTTGGACCTAGAGTCCAGGTTCATACAAATATTCTGCAGTGGTAGCGGACAGCCAAGATCTTAGCTGACTGCTGATAATGCCACGTAGGCAGCCTCTATCCACCGTTCTGTGGTCCCAAGGCTGCATGTGGAAGCTGCATTTCTGGACCCAACAGTACTCAGAGCCAACTGGACTAGACATCTACCCTGAACTGTCCAATTGGAGTACTGGTAACCCTTGATCTCTGACCTCAAGGAAGCCCTTCACTCAGGGGTCACAGGGCTCTGTCCTTGGTCACAAGGCCTTGGTGGTCTGGGCAGGGATGGAAAGCTGGCTACCAGCACTATGGGAGCTCTGACACAGGCAGGACACAGCATCCAACTGCTGGCTAAAAGCACAAGAACCCAGGGGGTGAGCTGGCAGCTCCCTGGGCCTAAGACAAGACCCCAGGTTAGGTGCAGTCTGAGATGGAGAGGGGTGGTCCAGAAGCTAAAAGTGTTCATCGTGTCTTCAAGATGCCTGGCCCACTGCTGTGACACTTGGGACAAGTCAGCTTCCCTCCCCAGGCCTCAGTGTTTTTATAAAATGACAGAATCGGAGCAGATGATCTCTAAAGTACTATCATCCCTAGCATTGTGACTCCATGATTTCTAATGACTACTCACCAGTCTATGAGTATCTACTCTGAGCTAAGGAGAGTCCTGACCAGCTGGGTCAACTGAGTGACTAGACCAGCTGAGGGGTAACAGATGCCACAGCCTGGCCTTCCTACACCCTGGTGAGGGGCAGTGACTGTCCTTCCTGCTGTAAGAGGACCAGATAGCAGAGCAGACTACAGAGTGAGGCAGGGTGATCCCCTGTACCTTAAGGTATCCAAGGCAGGAGGATGGACACAGTGACCTCTGGAATGACCAGGGGATCAGGGTCTCGTACTGGTCCAGCCCATCCTGGCCCCACACAAAACAAAGATGTTCTAGTACACAGCCCACTTGGGCTGAGCACTCTGCTGCCCTCTGGGAAATTACTTTGGCAAGATGTAGAACTTGCCTTCTCTCTCTAGCAGGGAGGTGGAGTTCCTGGGTGGTACAAATAGTTAACAGTTGAACAGTTAAGCACTCGACTCCTAACCAAAAGGGTGGTGGTTCGAACCCACTCAGAGCTGCCTTGAAAGAACGTCCTGGCAGTCTGTTTCTGGAAGGTCACAGCCTTGAAAAGCCTGTGAAACACAATTCTGCTTTGCACACGTGGCGTCACCATGAGTGGGGATCAACAATTGTTTGTTTGTTTTAGCAAGGAGGCACGGGGTGGGGTTGGGGGTCTTATGAGAGTTAATGTACATTGTCCAGACTTTGAGGAAGGGCTGGGTCCTTGGGAGGGGAAGCAGGGCTTCCCTAGTGCTCTGCCCATCCTCTCCCTTTCTCCACCCTAGGGATAGAGGAACCCTGGGGTGGGGTCCATGGTGCAACCTGGTCCCTCCACCTCACTGTCCTGGATCCACACCCAGGTCTTCACCCTTGTCCCTCCTCCCTTCCTCCACTCAGTACTTTCTGACCCACGTTCCTTCCTGTGAGGCTCTTACTGTCCTTCACAGCCATAGTGTAATGGTTAGGCTTGGGGCCCAAAAACCTGGGCTCAGATCTAGTGTTTCATAGTCCTGGGAAGTTCTTGAACTTTTCTGTGCCTCAGTTCCTTCATCTCTATACTGGGGATAATTATCCACCTCATAGGATTGTTGTGAGAATTCAGTGAGTTAATATATGTAAAGAGCTTAAATGCCTGGCACTTCGGAGGTGCTCAGTAGAGGTCAACTGCCTCTACAGTTCATTATTGTTATTATCCAGGGCTCAGCTCAGCCCTTCCTAGACTAGTCTCGCCCAGGGATCTCAGTTGCCCACTTCAGAAACCCTCCCCACTCTGACCACTTAGCACATATGGTAAACCTGTTGCTGTGGAGTCAATTCCAACTCATAGTAGCCCTATGGGACAGATTAGAACTGCCCCATAGGATTTCTTAGGCTGTAACCTTTATGGAAAGGAACTCTGGTAGCATAGTGAGTGAGACATTTGGCTGCTAACCAGAAGGTCAGCAGTTCAAACCCACCAGTTGCTCCATGGGAGGAAGATGAGGCAACCTACTTCCGTAAAGATTTACAGCCTTAGAAACCCAATGGGGGTCACTATGAGTCAGAATCGACTTGATGGCAGTAGGTTTGGTTTTTGATTTAATCTTTATGGAAAGAGACTGCCTCATTTTTCTCCCAAGGAGTGGCTGGTGTGTTTTAAACCACTGACCTTTTGGTTTGCAGCTGAGTGTTTAACCTCTGCACCACCAGGCTCCTTTTAGCACACACGGTCGTGAGGACTAACTACCTAATCTATGCCAAGTATTTTCCATACATCATTTTATTTGAGCCTACAACAACTCTGTGAAGCAGGATTATTATCCCCTTGTTATAGATGAGGACACTGAGGTAGCCGGCCAGGAGCTTCCACAGGGCCCCAGAGCAGAGAGGCTGGTGTGAACAGAAGACAGGGGATGAGGAGGGGAGGTCAGATTCCCAAGGCCACGGTACCCTGGAGGGCCACTGTGGAGTTTGCAGTGGGACAGGGGTAGGAGTGGGTTCTGCATTTTGCAAAGTTCACTCACCCTGGCTACTGAGGGGGTTTGCTGAGGTGGGAAGGAGTGGTTGGGGATGATGGTGACTTCTGATATCTGGGGCAATTGGAAGCTACTGAAGCCATCAGGAGGCCTGTGTTTTGAGCCCTGAAGGGCTAGTCTATCACCATCTCTGGGCCTCAGTTTGTCCTCTGTACCCTGGGGTGAGGGCAGTGTCTGGGTGCCTGCCCAAGCTGCCTGTGGGTGAGTTGCTTTGGGCCACCACTTCTCTTCTTGACAGACATGGCTCCTGTCCTGGCCATTTCCCAGCCTGTGGAAGGGGTGGCCTCTCTGGCGATTACCCCAGGCCAGGCTGGGGGGAGGGCAAGGGGCAGCCACAGCCACAGGGATTCCCCTGGGTCACTGCCTTCCCAGGGCAACTGGTGCACCGGTTCTTCTGGGGCCTTGGGGACTCACTCCTTCACCCCTTCAGGGCAGTTCTCCAGGTGTCGCCACACAGATTGTCACCTGTGGTGATGGAGAAAGCACTGGGTGGGAGTCAAGCAATCTAAGTGTACACAGACAGGTGCCAGGGGGCAACTCTGGCTCTACTGCATCCTGTGTGAGGGTACTGGGCTATACCCAGGTGCAGTTGGCCTGTGGTATCCCCAACGTGGATGTTTTGCTGCAGACCGGGAACGTATTGGGCAGGACTCAGCATACGAGCAGGAGGGGAAGGTGCAGTTTGTGATAGATGCTGTGTACGCCATGGGCCATGCGCTGCATGCCATGCACCGTGACCTGTGCCCGGGCCGTGTGGGACTCTGCCCACGAATGGATCCTGTAGATGGCACCCAACTGCTCAAATACATCCGGAGTGTCAACTTTTCAGGTGGGTGCATTGTGCAGGTACCGCCCAACTCCAGTGCCCTGGGCCAAGCAGCCAGCCAGGGGGAAGGGAGCTCCTGGGACTGAGTGAGGGTGGATGGGAAGGTCTCCCAGATGTTCCCAAGAGCTTTTATGGAGGGGCCTTCTCAGAGCTGTCTCTGCTCTGAGCTAAGGAGCTAAGGAGGAGGAGGAAGGCTCAGAATCCTCCCTGTCTGTGTGCCAAGGCTCATCCAAGACATTGAGTGTAACAACTTCTCTAGGCATCGCAGGGAATCCTGTGACCTTCAATGAGAATGGAGATGCCCCCGGGCGCTATGACATCTACCAGTACCAGCTGCGCAATGGCTCTGCTGAGTATAAGGTCATCGGCTCCTGGACTGATCACCTGCACCTCAGAGTAAGTGCCTGGCAGGAGGGAGGGAGGGCCCCGGGGGTGGGTGGGGAGTTACTCAGGACACCCCAAGTTTTGGGAGGGGGACCCAGGAAGGCAGCTGCTGATAGCCTTTTCCCCTGGACTCTAGGCTATCAACTGGGGCTTCCTTCCCTGTGGCCCCTCTCAGGCCTCAGAGAGCCAGAGGCTCCCACCCCAAAAGGAAAGAAAGGGTAGGCTGGACTTCTCCTACCTCTCAGGCTCTTCCCCTTGACCTAAGCCTTTGACCTTCATGCCTGCTGCTCACTCTCAAGAGCAGACAAATTTACAGTGAACTAAAATACCTAAAAAAGCTTGATGGGTATAGAGGGGTATGGTGAGGAGGGAGAGGACTGCATTTGGACAGAAGGCAAAGTCTTACTGCAAAAGGGTGCAGTCCACGGGAAGGAAGTGGGAAGAGAGCTGTTATATCGTAGGGCATTGCAGTCAATGTCATGAAATAAAATGTGTATGAGCTGCTGTATGGAAAATGAATTTGCTCTGTAAACTTTCACCCAAATCACAGTAAAAATAAAAATGAAATAATAATAATAATAATAAAGAGCACAGGCCAAATGGAGGGATTTCTGGCCTTGGCTAGTGGGCAGGAACTGTTTTAGAGTTAACCTCCCCCAGTCCCTCAAGCCACACAGATGACAATGATCTCCCTGGCTATTATGAGGGGAGCTTCTTCTCGATCCCTTTAGCCACTCTTTCCTGCTCACAGAATGTCCCAGGGGTGTGACCCTTAGTGTCTGTGGCATAGAACAGTGTTTTAGAAAAGAATGGACCTGTAGCTCATTCCCCAAGGAGATGCCCTGTGGACTTGGCCCCTACCTTGCAAGGGTGAAGGGTTGAGCCATGCTTGAGATGAGCACCCTATGACATCTTAGACGGACTAGAAAGACTCAGGAGACCCAGAACTACCCTGACCTTGTTCTGTGATCCTGGGAGAATTGTGTCATGTCTCAGCTGTCTCCTCAAGTATTATCTCTTCTAGGGAGGAGCCCCTCAAGCCCTTCAAAGCATTTGCCGTCCATAATCTCATTTAACCCTGACCATATTCTAAGTCAAAGGAACTACCTCAGGAAACCAGGCTTAGGGGAGGCAGAGAGGCTTCCTTAAGGGCACGCAGTGTGGCAGAGCCAGAGCTGGTGCCCATTCCTATAGTAATTTCCTCGGACTGCTGAGAGGAGAGCTATGGGTGGGCAGAACAGGCAAGTGGGAGCACTTGGCAAAGTCAGGATGATGCTAAGAACATGCAGGGAGAATAGGGGTGGAACAGTGGGAGCCAGTGGTAGCAGCTACTAATCCTTACAGAGCACTTGCTTATATATTAGCCACTGTTCTCAACATGTTACCTCGTTGTGAGATGACAGCCCTGTGAGGTAGGCACTGTTATCCCCATTGTACAGATGTGGTAACTGAAGCAGGGATCAAAAAACCAAACTCACTGTCGTTGAGTCAGATCCGACTCATAGTTACCCTTCCTTGGGTTTCTGAGGCAGTAAATCTTTACGGAAGTAGATTGCCCAACCTTCCTTCCAAGGAGTGGCTGGTGGGTTTGAACTGCCAGTCTTCTGGTTAATAGTCAAATCCCTTAGGCACTACGCAGTGTATACATAAGTGGCAATGGACTTCTCCCCTGATAGTCTTCTCCCTAATAATATAAGGCCCTTCCCCCCAGCAGACCATCTCCATGGCTCCTTGGCCGTCCTAGCTCAGCCTACAATTTACCCATTTCTCAGCCTCCATTACCCTCTCCTCTGTAAGGCCCAGGTAGGGTTGAGATGATGGGAGAAGGTGAGAGGGGACTAGACCTTTCCTGTCACACCTTCTCACTTTCTGCGTCAGTGACTCAGTCTGGCTGCGCTAAGAGGCATTAAGCAGGCAAGTCCTCACCAGCCTGACCACCATCTTCCTCCCAGGTCTGAAAATAAGAGGCTGCTCATCACCAGTGCCCTGGACCACACAACTTGGGCACAGTCATTCCTTCATAGATTCCACAGATACTTACAGGGTCCCTATTATGTGCCAGCCCTGTTCTGTTGTTGTAAGGTGGCATTGGGTCAGCTCTGACTCATTGCAACCCTGTGTACAATAGAACGAAACTAGGGGCTGCAAACTCAGCAGTTACTCGGGAAATAAACACAAAAGACCTTACCTTCGTGGAGTTGATGTTCTAGTCAAATCTCATTATTCTCAGTAGTTATGCTCTATAAAGTCCCCATGAACACTGAGTTAGTGAGTAACAAACCAGCCTTGTTCACACTCAGCTGGGAAGCTCTCATCACTCTGTTCATGTGCATGTTTGAGAAAGCACTGCAAATATTTTTAGTGAATAGGCATATTCATGAATCTGGAATCCACAAATTATTGAGGAACGATTGTATAAAAATATTCCCATATGACTTCCAATGGAAGTCATCCTAAGTAACAAAGGACCATGTGGCTTCATATCCACTATCATTGGATCAGATGCAGAAACAAAGGGTTAGAGGCAGCAAGGTGTTTGCTCAAGGGCACACAGTCAGTTAGCAACAAAACTGTGATCCACTGTGATCAATAGAATTGCATTTACTGCTCTTTCCACTGGAAATCAGTAACAACAACAACAACAAAAACTTGCTGTTGAATGGATTCTGACTCATGGCAACCCCAAATATGTCAGAGTAGAACCGGGCTCTATAGGGTTTCTAATGACTGATTTTTTGAAAGTAGATCACCAGGGCTTTCTTCTGAGGTGCTTCTGGATGCACTTGAACCTCCAACCTTTAGTTAGCAGCCAAGCACATTATCTGTTTGTACCACCCAAGGATTCCCTTTCCAATGGAGCCATAGATTTTTTCCAGACTAGAAATCTCTCCCCACCTCCACATCACCCTGTATCCTCTGGGGTAAAATCTTTCTCCTTATAGTCTCACAGCTCCAGTACACAGAGTGCTTCCTGCCCCATCATTCCTGCAGCATGGTGGCACTGGCCATTGCTATACCCTTATGTTTTTAGGACAACATACAGCCCTGCACTTGACTGCTAACCAGAAGGCTGGCGGTTCAAACCCACCAGCCACTCCTCGGAAGGAAGGTTGGGCATTCCTACTTCTGTAGTGATACTGCCTCGGAAACTCAAGGAGGGGTCGCTATGAGTCGGGGCCGACTCGATGGCAAACAACAACAACAACAACAAAGCCCTGAAATGTCCAGGGCCACAGGACACATCTTACCCTTGCAATTTTCTTCCCACTGTACCTTAAGGCCATTGTTGCATTCCTTGCCCCACCTTACATTTTCCCTCGCTCTGAAAACTTCCCTATGTCCTGAACCACCTGGTTATATTTTCTCCAGGAGTGAACATCTCACATTCAGCACAAACATAGCACCAGTCTAGCCAGTCTAGTAGCTCTCTAAGAATAAACTCTTTTCCTCAGAGCTCCCCTGTTCAGAGCAGACTCTTCGAATAAGGCTCCTGAATGCAGTCAAACTCTCTTTTCCCAGTGTCTAGAGCTCTTTTTAGGAGCTCTGGTAGCATAGTGCCTAAGGCACTTGACTGCTAACCAGAAGGCTGGCGGTTCAAACCCACCAGCCACTCCTTCGAAGGAAGGTTGGGCATTCCTACTGCTGTAGTGATACTGCCTCGGAAACCCAAGGAGGGGTCGCTATGAGTCGGGGCCGACTCGATGGCAAATAACAACAACAACAGAGCTCTTTTTTTGTTGTTGTTGTTGTTGTTGGGAGCTCTGGTGGCGTAGAGCCTAAGGCATTTGACTACTAACTAGAAGGTTAGTGGTTCAAACCCACCAGCCACTCCATGGAAGGAAGACGGGGCAATCTATTTCCGTAAAGATTTACTGCCTCAGAAACCCAAAGCGGGTCCCTATGAGTTGGAATTGACTTGTTGGCAGTGAGTTTGGTTTTTTGGAGAGCTTTTATAGGCCTCTCACTTGCTTTCCAGAATATTGGAAGATATCCAGTAGGACGTTACAGCGCTCCTGTGGCTCCTTTACTCATACTGATTGTGTCCTCAGAGATACATAGTGGTGACTAGCACTAATTTAAAGCAAGATATAAAGTAATGCTAATCCTTAGGCACTCATTAAGGAGTGCTGGTGGTGCAATGGTTAAGTGCTCAGCTGCTAACTGAAAGGTTGGTGGTTCGAACCCACCAGTGGTTCCATGGGGGAAAACCTGGTGATCTGCTCCCTTAAAGATTACAGTCTGGGAAACTCTATGGGGCAGTTCTACTGTGTAACACATGAGGTTGCTATGACTCAAAAATCAACTCAACTGACACTTAATAGGCACACGTCAGGTGCCCTCTGATTAACCTATGCTGTTGCTCTGTGCTGAATTCAACTCCCCACGCTGCTCAGAGGCAGTGAGGTAGGCCAGCAGTACCATACTCCATTCCAATGTGCACACAGATTACCTGCAGGGGGAGGGTCTTATTAAAAACACAAATTCTGGGTCTTTAAGTCTGGAGTGAGTCTTGCATTGCCAGCAAGCTTTTGGGATGCTATTAGCCTGGGGACAGACCACTGTGAGAAGCCAGCTTTAGCAGCTGGGAGTCAGGACCTGAGTTCTCCCTGCTCGGTCACTGATGCTGTGCACGCCTCTGGGTTGTAACTGCTGCTCTCCTGGGGCTTAGTTTCTCTGTATGCCCTTTGAGAGTGTTGGATTAGGTTGGCATTCTCCATAGGTCAGTTGTGTCTGAATCATGCCAGAAAGCTTGTTTAGATCCAGCTGTCTGATTTGGCAAGTTTTGGTGACATCACCCTTGGGGACACTCCCTCACACCCTATAGATTTTTAGCCAACTAACTGGGTGATTCAGGTGTGGGGCTGTCAGGTGCCACCTAGTGGGAGGATCCGGGGTGCCGGGTGGCATGTCCTGAAGGTGGCTCCATGGTGCTGTCGTTGCCAGATAGAGCGGATGCACTGGCCAGGGAGTGGGCAGCAGCTGCCCCGCTCCATCTGCAGCCTGCCCTGCCAGCCAGGGGAGCGGAAGAAGACAGTGAAGGGTATGCCCTGCTGCTGGCACTGCGAACCCTGCACAGGCTACCAGTACCAGGTGGACCGCTATACCTGTAAGACGTGCCCCTATGACATGCGGCCCACGGAGAACCGCACAGGCTGCCGGCCCATCCCCATCATTAAGCTCGAGTGGGACTCACCCTGGGCCGTGCTACCCCTCTTTCTGGCTGTGATGGGCATTGCCGCCACACTTTTTGTGGTGGTCACCTTCGTGCGCTACAATGACACACCCATTGTCAAGGCCTCGGGCCGAGAGTTGAGCTATGTACTGCTGGCAGGCATCTTCCTGTGCTACGCCACCACCTTCCTCATGATCGCCGAGCCCGACCTGGGCACCTGCTCGCTGCGCCGGATCTTCCTAGGGCTGGGCATGAGCATCAGCTATGCCGCCCTGCTCACAAAGACCAACCGCATCTACCGCATCTTCGAGCAGGGCAAGCGGTCAGTCAGTGCCCCGCGCTTCATCAGCCCCGCCTCGCAGCTGGCCATCACCTTCAGCCTCATCTCCCTGCAGCTGCTGGGCATCTGCGTGTGGTTTGTGGTGGACCCCTCCCACTCAGTGGTAGACTTCCAGGACCAGCGGACGCTCGATCCGCGCTTCGCCAGGGGTGTGCTCAAGTGTGACATCTCGGACCTGTCTCTCATCTGTCTGCTGGGCTACAGCATGCTGCTCATGGTCACGTGCACCGTCTATGCCATCAAGACACGCAGCGTGCCCGAGACTTTCAATGAGGCCAAGCCCATTGGCTTCACCATGTATACCACCTGTATCGTCTGGCTTGCCTTCATCCCCATCTTCTTCGGCACCTCACAGTCAGCTGACAAGGTGAGGGGCAGGGGCTGGGCACGGGTGGAGGACAATGAGCTGGGGGCAGACTCCTGCCCACCCCTAGGAATAGCTGGCTGGCTTCTCACCCTCCTCCAGAAATGCCTTCTTCATGCCTCTTTCTGCCTTCTCTCTTAATTGCATGTTTTTCTCTGGGTTCTGAGTCCTCCCCTTCTCTTCTTGCCCTTTTTCCTCTCATTCCCCTCTCCCTGTCTCATCTCTCCTTTTTTCTTGCCTTCCTCTCTCTCCTTCTTCCTTCCTTCCCTCTTTTTATCCTCCTCCTCTGTTTCCCTCCCTCCACCTCTCTAGCCCTGCCTCTGGCACTGCATTCTTTCTCCTCCCCATCTCTTTCTCTTCCCTCCTCCATCTTTTGTTTCTCTCCTTTATCTCTCCTTTCTATTCACCTGGGATGCTGTACCATCTTTCATTCCTCCTTCTTTTGTAGCTCTCCTTTCCTTTACCTCTCTCCCTACTTGGACCCCATCTTCCATTCTGTCCACTTCTTTCTTCTCCCTCCTCTGTCCACCCCTCTCTCTGGGATCCCACACTCCCCAGTGCCAACTTGCCCACAAAGTCTGGGAGCGTGGGGTCTGGCAGCACCATCAGAGGTCCTTCCATCACTGGGCTGGACACTGCAGAGGGACCGCCTCCTGGTGGCGTTTTTCTTGCTGGCCTGGTCTAATGATCTGGGCACACCCCAAGGGTCTTGTGGACTCTGCCCACATCCCAGCACCAGCACTGCCTGGCAACTGGGAGACTTTTATCTTGAAGGGTTGGGAGTCGCTGAAAGCCTGCGCCTTTCCAGCCTCAGTTTCTTCATAAGTAACTTGGGGGCCATGATCTTTGCCCTGCATCCCTTACAGGGTGTCATAACAATCAAACAATGTAATGGATAGAAGAACAGTTTAAACACTATAAGGAGGTTGGGGAGGTGGGAGCTGAGGGAGCCAGAGGAAGGTAGTAGGGATAGGGTCAGAGAGGTAACCAGATGGGTGGTGTAGGACAGAGAAGGATGTTGGCTTTAGTGTGAGTGAGAAGGGAGCCACTGTGGGGTTCTGAGCAGATGACAGCTATGGTGTGATCTAGGTTTGAAAAGATCCCTCTGGCTGTGGGTGGAGCATTGAGGAGGGCAAGGGCAGGAGCAGGGAGACCGGAGCAGAGGTCACTATAATAATCCAGATAAAAGATGATGGTGACCTGGATCAAGGTGTTGGCAGTGGGTGGTGAGAAATGATGAGTTTCTGATGTGTTTGGAGGTGGAGCTGGCAGGATTTCTGATAGATTGCATGGGGGTGGGGTGGGAGACAAAGAAGAGTTAAGGTTGACTCCATGGTTAGTAGTCTGAGCATCAGAAGGAAGGAGTTTCTATGTTTAGGATCTCTGGTAGTGTAGTGCCTAAGGCATTTGACTGCTAACCAGAAGGCTGGCAGTTCAAACCCACCAGCCACTCCTTGGAAGGAAGGATGGGCAATTTACTCCCATAGTGATACTGCCTCAGAAACCCAAGGAGTGGTCGCTATGAGTTGGGTCTGACTTGATGGCACATAACAACAACAACAACAAATTGGTGAAGACAATGAGAGGAGCCCTGGCAGGGCATGAGGTCAGGAGGTCTTCTGTACATGCTAAGTGTGGGATGCCCATTGAACTTCCAAGGGGTGCTGTTGGGTCAAGGGTTGCTGTTGGGTCAACAGCTAAAAATGAGTTGAGTCTGGAGTTCAAAGGCAAAGTCTAGGCCGGTGATGTAATTATGAGAGTGGTCAATGTATGGATGGCATTGAAAGCCCTGAGCCTCAGTTTGAGCTCTGAGGGACATGTGACATTCTGCCAAAGTTGCCATGTCATGTGCCAGGCACTTCACCTAATGACTACCTGACCCCACAGCAACCTGGTTGGTATTATTATCCCCATTTATAGAAGAGCACATGGAAGCACAGAGAAGTGGAGGATTTGCCCAAGGTCATACAGCCAGTAGGTGGCACAACTGAACTTGATCCTGACACTGTCTCAAGAGTATCCCTTTCTGTGCCCCCCATCCCTTCAGCCCACACTGTCCCCTGCAGCTCTGGGATACCTCCCCTGCAGCTCTGGGATACCTCCCCTGCAGCTCTGGGATACCTCCCCTGCCCTGGGACTTCCTTGGTAGGTGCCCACCTCTTCTCCAATAGCTCCTCAAGGGCAGGAGCTATATTCTTCACTCTAAATCCCTTGGGCTTGGACCAGGGAGGGCTGTGGCATGTCTGCCATTGGTGGCCCTGTGGGCTGGGGGCTCCAAGAAACAGACCTGGAGCAGTGAAGATCTTGAGGTCAGAGACCAGGCCTGACTCCAGGAGAATAACACAGGCCTGCACACTTGGACCAAAGCAACCACCCCCTGTGCCCAGTCCACTTTGTGAGCCATGTCTCCCACCCCCATCGGGCCTACAGGAGGCCCTCCCTACTGAAGGCAGGTATAAGCAGGGCCTCCACACCCCTTAGTGCCCATGGGACTTACAAATCCAGTGAAGGAGACCACCTAACACCTCAGGAAGCTGGTAGCTTGAGAAATTACCCTCAACAATGCCACGCTGTCCTTCCTCAGGGAGTAGAGGTACACACCTGGGAGGTGGAGAACATGGTGACTAAGTCTCTTTCCTCTGCTTTCCCTTAGTTCCCTCTGTTGTCTGTCAGTACCCCACTCCCCAGTGGAGTTTCTGCCAGATCCAGGTATCAGACCCTGGTACCTATAGATGCTGGGGCCCAGCTCCCACCCCTTCTCCTAACTCAGTTTTCTCAGGTCACCCACTACCTCTGATTTTTCCCTTTTTAGGAGTCTCCCTTGGCCCTAAAAAAGAGCTTCTGAGATGAATCTGAGAGGGATAGGGACTTGCCCTGGGTCACAGTGTAGGCTGGTCTCACCCATGTGGGCCTAAGACCTCCCTTTGCCCTGTACTGGCTGTGTGACCTGGGACACATCTCTCTCCTTCTCTGGGTCAAGATCTCTGGCTCTGAATGAAGACCAGCAGGCTTCTTAGAGGCTGGGGCAGCCCTAGGGCTGTTCTGGGGGGCTGTATCTGTTCCATATCATGCCAGAGCTACAAATAGCACAAGTAAAAGCTTCAGACCTGGCTGCTGGGAGTGTGCGTGCAGAAAGAGTGGGGTGGGGCTGTGAGGATTTGTGGGGTGTGTACAGAAGTGTGCAGGCACTGATGTGTATGTACCTGCTTGTGCATGTTCATTGGTGGGTATGAGGGATATGAGTGTGTATGTGTGTGTTTGTGCCTGCAGATTGAGTGGGGATGGACTGGTGTGTGTGCCTAGGGGTTTAGAGCTTCTGGTGTATATATGAGTGTGCAGATTGAGTGAGTATGCCCAGGTATATGTGTGTACACAAGTGTGTGTATTGATGTATGAATGTGGGTGTTAGTATATGAAAATGTATGAGTATGCTCAGGTCTGTGTGCAGATGTGTATGAGTGCCTCTGTGTGTATATGTGTGTGTGCACCCAGGTGCATGAAGTGGTGATGTGTGTGTGTGAGCCTAGGTATGTCTGAGCCTGGGGTGAGCATGCAGCTGTGAGTTCAGGTGTGTGCGTTTGTTTGCATATATATGTAGGTGTGTGTCAGAAGGAAGATTGGGCAATCTACTTCCATAGTGATACCGCCTCAGAAACCCAAGGAGGGGTCGCTATGAGTCGGGTCCAACTCAATGGCACATAACAACAACAATAACATAGGTGTGTGTGAGCCAATATCGTGTGTGCCCAGGTGTGTGTGCAGGTGTTTGTATGCAAGCACATGTATGTGCTCAGATGAGTATATACCCCAGGGTACAGGTGCTGTCACAGAGTGAAGCTGTCTGTGCTGCTCCAGTGAGCAGGCGGATAGATTTCCCAGCATTAGCCTGGATTTCCAGGGCTTAACACCACAGCCATTTGGCATTACCCTGAGCTGTCCGGAGAGGGCTTTCTCCACTGTGTGGGGTTGTAGCTGCCCATCCTGCTTGGGCAGGATATAGTCAGGAGGCTGGTCAGGTGTGGGAGAAATTCCTTGTCTGGTCTGTACGGATTCTAAGGATTCTAGTACCCACCATGATTGGCCTGGACAGAAGCACAAAGCAGGCAGTGCGTCCTACCAGGCCCTTTCAGGGCCCTTCCCACCCTGTCCTCTCTGGGAAATTCATTGTCCATATCTACAGCTGCTCCTTTCTGTGCCCTTTGCCCCATCCCAAGGTGCTCTCCACCCTCCCCCATCACACTCAGCTCTGATAACCTCCTTCCCTCTGGGGGCATGTGATTAGCAAGACTCTTTAATATAAGATTCTTCACAGATGCAAGAAGGAGTGTAGCAAGGGCCTGACCAAGGGGAGCAGTAGAATTTCCAGTACCACTGAGCTGGGAGATGGGTAAATGGGAGAGAAGGTGAAACCGCATCCTGAAGCCCACCTTTCACTCTGCCTTCCTTTAAGCTCCTCATTTGTATCTGGGTCCCCTTCCTTCAGGGGTGCCTACCATTTTTTAGAGACTCACTGCTTCTCTGACAAGGGCTAACAGGTTACCACCTCTTGGTGGTTACGTACACAGGGGGTCCAGAGGCTATGCTCTAGCCAGAGGCACACCTCCATAGTAGTGTGGGCATACTAGACCCTGAGTAAGGAGAGACACTGGCAATGAGCAACTCCATATCTGCTGTGCACAGAGCTGACCACCCCCAGCCCCCGCCAGGAGGCTTCACCCCCACATAGTTGGCACATGTGACCCAAGGAGCACATGAGTATCATGCACCAGCTGTGAGTCTTTGCCTTTTCCTCTGCTTTCCATAGAGAGGATACCTGGACCCCCAGAAGCTGTACTCCTCAAACATTCTGAGATGGTTGGAAAAATTTCCAAGGCCTGTGCTGGGAAGAGGGGAGCTCTGGTGGCATAGTGCCTAAGGCACTTGACTGCTAACCAGAAGGCTGGCGGTTCAAACCCACCATCCACTCCTTGGAAGGAAGATGGGGTAATCTGCTTCCATAGGATACTGCCTCAGAAACCCAAGGAGGGGTCGCTATGAGTTGGGGCCCACTCGATGACACATAACAGCAACAACAATAACATGCTGGGAAGGAGAGGCCCCAGCAGATGAGAGTTTCCCAGAGAAGCTCAAGCTTGATTTGTTTACACCCCTCCTTAGATTGTTGTTTGCAGAAAGGGTTCCTCGGTTGAAAAACAAAATAGAACAGAACAGCATGACTGCTTGGAGCTGGTACATAATTTACAAGGCCCAATGCAAAATGAAAATGTGAGGCCACTTGTTCAAAAATTGCTAAGAATTTCAAGATGGTAGCAGAAAAGCATTAAATCAAGCATGGAGCCCTTCTCAGCACAGGCACTGTGTAAACTACACAGATTGCACACTCATGCAGCTACCCCTGCTTGTGTGAATGGTGGGGTCCTTGCAGCCTGGAGAGGGGAGAACTTGCCCAGCATCCCATGTGGGTCAGGGCAGAGTGGACTCTAGAATCCAGGCTCCCAGCTCACAACATAGGGCTGTATTCACTGCAGGGGCTCATTCTGTCAGAGAGGGGGCCTCCACTCCTGCTTCCAACAACTCCACAGGGCCCAGTTGCATCCCCAGGCAACAAAGTGAGGGCTGAGGGTCTAAGATAGGCATCTGATCTGGAAACACAACTCCTATACCCAGGAACCCCTAGACTGAGGGGAGAGGCAACCATTCCTTACCCTCAAGGAGCCCCCAGTCTAATGAGGGAGACAGGCCCCTATTCCTGGGGAACTCCCATGGATGGAGAAGACCCATATAACAAGCCCAGGTCACTGTTGTTTCCTCCAAGGGTCCATTATGGTCCTCTGGTACCTCTCCCTCCACCCCCACCCTGGCCACTGACCCATGGCCTGGGGTGAGAGAGAGGCCAGCATCTCCCACTGGCTTGTTATGACCTTTCCTGATGTCCGGGTGCTGGGGAGTAGCTCTGTGCCCCAGGGTGAGAGTGTAGCTGCGTGTGAGTTCTAGGGAATGTCTGTGTCCCGAGAGGTGTGAGCTCTCTGGGAAGCAGACTCCATTTTAAAGAGCTTGGATATTTTCCTGAATTGTGGCAAATCAAACAACCTTGCCACCCTCTCAGCTCCCTTCGCCACAGAGTCCTGCTTGATCTGGGCATCGCAGCCTGGAGGTGGGGACTTGAAGAGCATCAGCTCGTTGGCCTGGGAACAGCATGGCTGTCTGGCTGTGCCTCTATGTCTCCTCTTCCTCTTGCAACCACTAAAAGCAAGCTCCATGGATTCACAGTCTATGCTTGGGTAGCCCTGTGATTTGGGTGAGGTAGGTGCTATCATCCCATTGTACTGATGAGGAATCTGAGGCCTAGAGAGGGAGTGGGACTTTCTCAGGGTCACGCAGCCTCCCATCTGCCTCTACCTCTCTCTTTCCAGACTGTAGAGCTTCTTCAGTCCTTCCCCCAAAGGTAGGAAACCTTGGGAGAAGTGGCTAGCAGTGAAAGCCTTCAGAACCAGGGTCATGAGGCATTTATGGAGAGGAGCAGGAGATGGGGAGGAATACAAGAATGGGAAGATCTGGCCTCTGATCTCAGGGACAATCAGAGGGGCCAGGGTCCGTGTGATTTCAAGGAGCAAGCCCAGACTCGTGTCCCCACTGCTGGGCTGCAAGTGAGGAATGAAAGATGCTACAGAGAATTGGAGAGAACCAGGTGTCAGAGAAGGCTTCCTGGAGGAGGTGGCGCATTAGCCAGACCCCTGGGGTTGGGAGCAGGCCAGAGTGGGGGGCAGAGACAGCAGACCAGGATGGGGGGCATTATGTTTCCTATCCCCTAGTGCCCAGGCCAAGGGGCACAGCCTGGGTCCTCTCTTAGTACCTCCCTGACTCAGGGGGGCCAGAGGGACAGCTCAGTTCTGAGAGGACCTGGAAGGAGGGAAGAGGCGGAGAGGGGATCCCAGATGGGAGCAGTGGGAATTGTTGGGCCCTGCCTGGAAGGCCCCACTATTGAAGAATGGATTATCTGACACCCAGAGTAATGGGCTTTCGTTTTGCTAAACATCTGTCACCGTTAGTACTGGCGAGCGAGCGTGAAATGAGCTTTGACTGTGCTGCCACCGTGGATCTCGCTGGGTGCTGTGGCTCCCATGCCACCAGCCTGCTTGGCATTTTGGGGTGGCATTTGGAGGGTGGCAGTCACTGAGTGTGGGGTGGCAGGTATAAGGGGCTGTGTGGCATAGCCATTGGGAGATATTCCAAGGCAATTCAACAGTAGTTCATCTCATTACCAGTCCAGTGTAGGTTCTTGAGAATGGTCAACTGTGGTCCCCTGAGGACCCCTTTTCCGGGATGCTTCCCTCAAATAGCATATGATAATCACAAACACTTATATGGCACTTATTGGCATAGTGCCTGAGGCATTTGACTGCTAACCAGAAGGTTGGCAGTTCAAACTCACCAGCCACTCCATGGAAAGAAGACTGAGCAATCTACTTCCATAAAGATTTACTGCCTTGGAAACCCAAAAGGGGTCGCTATGAGTCGGAATCGACTTGATAGCAGTAAGTTTGTTTTGTTTTACACACTTTTAATATTTGTTAAGTTGTTTAATCCCCACACCATCCCTACTATAATTATAATGCCCATATTATACATGAGGAAACTGAGGCACAAGGACATGACTTATCCAAGATCACACAGTTAGAAGTGATGGAACCAGGATTTGAACCCATGAATTTTGGTCTTAAGTTCTACCTCGTCACACCATGACAAACCACACTCCCTCTTGGCTGAAGCCAGCAGGGCATACAGCAGTGCCTCTGGGTCTGTCCCTATTGTGTCTGCCCCTGGGTGGGTGCTGGACGGGGTCAGGGCCCACTCTGACGCCGCCCTCGGCCCGCCCCCAGCTGTACATCCAGACGACGACGCTGACGGTCTCGGTGAGTCTGAGCGCCTCGGTGTCCCTGGGGATGCTCTACATGCCCAAGGTCTACATCATCCTCTTCCACCCGGAGCAGAACGTGCCCAAGCGCAAGCGCAGCCTCAAAGCCGTCGTCACTGCCGCCACCATGTCCAACAAGTTCACACAGAAGGGCAGCTTCCGGCCCAACGGGGAGGCCAAGTCTGAGCTCTGCGAGAACCTCGAGGCCCCAGGTGAGCTTCTGACCCTACCTCTTTCCTTCTGGGCCCCCTACACAGTGAATGCTGAGGTGAGCACATGAGCGTCCTGCCCCAGGCTACCACACTCCATCCCTAGCCTGCCTTCTGGGGTGGGGTGGAGAGGGGGGCACTAACAGAACTTTGAGGCCATAGGTGAGCAGCCTGAGGGAGTTCAGGGTTAACCTTGAGGTACCAGGTAGCACCTTGTCTGCCCACCCTCACCTGGTAGCCTTGAGAGAACCTGAGTCCCCTTTCCCACCCTCCCAACCATGTTCTTCCAGGGATCCCTGTCCCATGTGAAGTGAGGCTTTAGAGGGGCCTGGTTCATACAGGGTGATGTAAGACCCCAGAATTTTGTCAGTCCTGTGGTCCACAAGGAGCCCTGGTGGTGCAGGCATTCTGCTGCTAACCAAAAGGTTGGCAGTTTGAACCTGCCAGCCACTCTGTGGGAGAAAGATAAGGCAGTATACTTCCACAAAGGTTTACAGCCTTAGGCAGTTTTACTCTGTCCTGTAGGGTTGCTATGAGTTGGAATTGGTGGCAGTGGGTTTGGGGTCCACATCTCTGCCTGCCTCCTTTAAGTCCCTCTGGGGAGAAGAGGTCGTCTGGAGACTCCCTGCTCATTGGAAGGGGAGGCTCTGGCGCCAGAGCAGCCATAACACCCCAGCTTGGCTTTGTCCAGCTGTCCCCTAGCAGGGCCCTGAGAGATGAGGATCCAGGAAGTGGCCAGGCCAGGCCAGGACAGGTAAGTGAGGAGGGCAGTGTGGGGTGGTGTGTTTGGAGGGGGCTTTCAGAGGTCACCTCAGCAGTAGAGAGCATCACAGCTGTAAGGGATGGAAAGGGCAGGGGTAAGGACCTCAGTGTCTGAGGGACAGGCCCAATGCCTGGGTAGGACAGGGCCTTCTGGGGCTGGTTTCAAGAAAGAGCAGGGCTGCCACCTTTACCAACTCCCTTTTCCTCCTGGAGCCAGCCCTCTGTGGATGAGGAGAGACAGGCAGAGAGAGGCAGAGGATGTGAGGGACAAGTTTGCACCCCTTCCCTCTACCCCGAGTCCCTGGATACTCTCAGGGGCACAAAATAGTGGTGACCATTTCTTGAACCTTTACTGTGTACCAGACCCATTGCAGGCCATTTCCATCATAGCAAGCTTGAAAGGCCAGTGTTTTTATCATCTGAGTAATTCCACGAGGGAACAGAGGCTCAGAGGGGCGAGGGACTCACAGAGTTCACACAGCCAACAGCTGGCTTTGTTGTGGTCTCCTCACTGCCTTCGAGTCTTTGGAGGACAGTGGCTTCTGCCCTGGGGTGAGGTCTCAGGGAGTGCAGCCTGTGGGGTGGGCCTTCGTGGGCCTCACTTCTAGCTGCTCGAGGTAAAGGGGACCTCTGGGCCTTCTCTAGATCTAAGGGGTTGCTGTAGCCACCCCAGCCACACTGTAGGCTTTGGATTCCTCCTGGTCACTCTGTAAAGTGACTAAAATGGCATCTCCTCCTGCCTGCTCCCCTCTCTGAAAGTCTTGGGGACCTCCATTGATAGGGGGAAGGAGGAGACACTCCCCCTCCCAAGATTTAGACCTTTGTGTTAACACTCTGTTCCTTCCTTCCAGTGTGGGGGAAAGGCCAGATATGAATATTTTGAGGCAGCAGGAGGATCCAGGCTAGACTTCAGGAAGGCCCAGAGCAGAGGCTCCAGAGGAGGCCCTGCTGTCAACCCCCTAAGAGACCAGGAGAAACAGACCTTCCAGGCCTCGTTGCGTATGGGCTGAAGGCAGGCAGCAGAGTGAACGGGTCACCTCTTACAGGATCCCTGCCATGGGGCTCAGGGTGATGCATCTTCCCTTCCATTTTCAACACTGTTCCCATGTAGGATATGTATATTTTGACTATCAGAAGAAGGGAAGTCCCTTCCCACATCCAAATAGGCTTTTAACTTCTCAGAAACCTCTCTCCTGTTGAGTGATCTTCACAGTAGGCAGATAAGTCTTGGGGTTTGGTCCCCAGCTAAGGACCAGAGAGGATGAGTGACTGTCCTGAGATCACACAGCAAGGTGGTGGCTGGCTGGCCTCTGCACTACACCACAATGTTTTCATATGGCCTCCCTGACACTGGGATCCCTGTCCTCTGTGACAAGCCATATCACACTCCTTCTCACACTCCTGTCTCTGACTGACACCTCCTGGTGACTCTGTGTATGCCCGGTACCCCTCTCCCCCATGCCCTCTGCTTTCCCTCAGTCCTGTTCCTCCTTCAAGAGCACTACAGCTTTCAGGTGCTCCAGGCTTTCCACACTGAGTGTCCTCTCAGGACTCCCCACCTCAGCCCTTTTGTATCCACACAAGTGTCCACAGATCCCAAAGAAGCCCCTAAGCAGGCCTTTTTTTTTTTTTTTTTTTGGAGCAAGAACTCCCTCCCTGCCCCACCCCCGTCCCCCACTGCTGACTTTCATTTTTCTCCTCCCCATGGAGCCTAGCCCTTCCTGTGTCCCATTCCTTCAAAGCCTGTCACACAAGCTCCTCTCAAGTGCCCTGAGAGTCAGTGGGCATTATCCTCTCCCTGAGAACCAGGCGTCGAGCTGGAGCTAACCCTGACTCCAAAGGGTGACCCTCATGGTTCTGGGCCAGGCTAGGGGGGATTATAGGGTCAGTGACCTCCGCAGAGAGCTCTGATGGCACCATGTTGCGATTTGTCATCTCTGCCTCTGCTTGGGCCAGTCACCTGGGATAGTTCCCACCTCCCACCAGACAAGGAGGGATATGGAGGCGTGGAGACCCAAATTCCTAGTCCCTGCTTCCTGAGAGCCACCCCCCGCCCCCAGTGAAGGCCAAAGGCCAGTGCTCCTTGTCCCCATTGTTTCTCAGCTCCATGACAACAGGGGCCATGAGGCACTGGATGGGATACAGGTGATTAATTCTGAGGACAGCCGACTGAGAGGGTGTGAGTGGGAGGAGTGAGGGAGGTGTCACTCCCGTGGAGCGGGGACATTTTTCACTCTGTCACTGGCAGGCCACGTATCTTTAAACAAACAACAGAATAAATAATTCAGGGACTCGATTGCAGGCAGATTGGGCTCGAAGACACAGGGGCGACAAATGGGGGCTGTCAGCTCATGCCTGCTGCTGCCCGGCTAATTGGTGACTGAAAACCAGCAGCAGCTAGGGCCTGTTGGGGCTTTTGTCAGCAACAGGCGGGGATGGGGTGGGTGAGTTCAGGAGCTCCTCCCCCACTTAGGTCTCCCCACCTCCTCTTCCACCTGCAAATACTCTCTTGGAGTGTCACTGTCACCATCCTGTTCTCATTGTTGTAGTTATTTTAGTCATGTTCTTTGCCCAGCATTTTCTGGGCTTTAAAGTGTACTCCCATTGGTCCACTGCCCAAGTGCCAGCTAAAACCAAAACCAAATCTCCTGCCATCGAGTTGATTCCAACTCATAGTGACCCCATTGGGTTCCTGAGGGAGTAAATCTTTATGGAAGTAGATTGCCCAGTCTTGCTTCCACAGAGTGGCTGGCGGGTTTGAACCACCAACCTTCTGGTTAGCAGTCAGATGCCTTAGGCACTGTGCTACCTGAGCCAGCTGAAGGTTTATTATTAACCCTATTTTACAGATGAGGCATACTCATTGCTCCCGTTTTCCAGACAGTGAGACTGAGGCTCTATTAAAGGGCTCTGGGATCTCTGGCTAGTAGTTGAAGGTTAAGTTGAGTGTTCCCCTCTTCCATTCTGGAGCTCGTGAGTTTTCTAGAGAAGGCAGCTCTGGTCTTCCCTAGCTTTGCAGCCACCCCTCAGGCAAATTGCCTGTAGTCACTAGAGATTTTACTGAACTCTGGTGGTGTAGTGCCTAAGACATTTGACTGCTGACCAGAAGGTTGGTTGTTCAAACTTGCTAGCCACTCCACAGAAGGAAGACTGGGCAATCTACTTCCATAAAGATTTATTGCCTCAGAAACCCAGTGGGGGTCGCTATAATTGGAATCAACTCCATGGCAGTGGGTTTGGTTTCTTTCTTTCTTTTTTGGTTGCTGCTGCTGCTAAGGGGCTCTGGTGGTGCAGTGGATAAGGCATTTGACTGTTAACCAGAAGGTCGGTGGTTCAAACCCACCAGCTGCTCTGTGGGAGGAAGATGAAGCAATCTACTTCTATAAAGATTTACAGCCTTGGAAACCAACAGGGTCACTATGGGGTCGAAATCAACTTCATGGCAGTGGGTTTGGGTTGGGCTGCTGCTACTGCTGAGGTTTTTCTTCACCTCTGAGCCAGGAACCACTGAAGGGTTTTTACAGGTTTGGAAATGCAATTTTCTCAGTTCACCCAGGGGGTGATGGAGCCCTGGGGAATTGATTCTCACCAGCCTCACCTGCAGGCGAGCGATTTTCAGTCACTGCCAGGCTCTTTTTCTGCCTGTGGGGGATAGGGTGGGTGGGGAGCCCCTCAGGAGAAGTCCAGGGGGAAAGGGCCAGTCCTCTCTTGTTACAGTCAGGGAAACTGAGGCCCAGCAGAGAGAGAAGAATCTGCCTAAAATCACAGAGTGAATTTGAGATCTCGTTGCAGATAAAATCCAGTCCTCCCCCCATCCTTTCAGAACCTCCTGTCGCCATCCCTGGGTGTCCCAGCCTCCAGCTGCCCAGCTCCTTTCTCTGAGTGCATCTAGTACCTTAGCTGCTACCTGATACTACCCCACCTAAACTGACCTGTCCCGTGTGTTTCCTCTTGGTCATCTGGCACCTGAAAGGAAACTGGTCATTTTAGAATGAACTTGGGAATTCTTTATGAACTACGAGGTGCTATACTGTGTATCTGTTCTTCTCCTAGATGCCGTGGGCACCATTTCCCTACTATTAGCACTTGTCTAGGTAGCATCTAAAGAGGTCTGATGGGCAGTGGTTAAGGCATTCGGCTGCTAACCAAAACGTTGGTAGTTCAAACCCACTACCTGCTCTGTGGAAGAAAGATGAGGCAGATTACAGAAGCAGAGTCTGTAAAGATTTGTTGTTGTTGTTATGTGCCGTCGAGTCAGACCTGACTCATAGCGACCCTTCCTTGGGTTTCCAAGGCAGTATCACTACGGAAGTAAACTGCCCAACCTTCCTGCCGAGGAGTGGCTGGTGGGTTTGAACTGCCAGCCTTCTGGTTAACAGTCAAGTGCCTTAGACACTATGCTACTGGAGCTCCCAAACAGCCTTGGAAATCCAATGTGGGTCACTATAAGTTGGAATCAACTTGATGGCAGTGTTTTTTTGGTTAGGTAGTGCCTGAAGCTTGCAGCTTCCCTACCACTGCCCAGCCTCTGGTTGAATATATCTGCTGACAGGGTGCTCAGTACCCCATAAACTTGCCCATTCCACATGTAGTTCTTCCTTAAGCTAAGGTGAACTCTGACCCCCATGCCTCCCCATTGGTCCTGTGATGAGCCCCGCTGCTCATATGTTTGCTTCTTCCCGCACAGGATGGTCTTCTGATAGTTGGACCCAGCAATCCTGCCGATATGAGTGGGATTCAGGTTACAGTGCTATGACAAAGAGGCCCCAGAGTAGAGTGGTTTAAATAAGACAGATGTCTAATTCTCTCTGACTTAATAGTACATAGAGGGTGGGCAGGAGCTGGACACCCAGGTTCCTTCCATCTTATTGCTCTGGCAGCTCCCAGAGGGTCATTCTGGGCCTGATGCTTGAGACTGGTTGACCTCCATGTCTGATCTTCCCATGGACGGAAAAAAGGAAGAAGAGCAAGGAAAACAATCTCTTATTTTAATTTAATGACAAGGAAGTTGCACACAGCCCTTCCATTTACATTTCATTAGTGAGAGCATAGTCACATGGGCCCTCATGTAACTGTAAGGGAGGCTGGGAAATGTAGTCCTTAATTCAGCAGTCATATGTCCAGAAAACCTGAAAGAATTGGAGGGAATGACTTGTAGTGCACCACACTGCTCCTCCAGTTTCCTCTGTTTTCCCCTAGCCAAATACCCCTGGCTAGCCATCCCAGCAGATAAGGCTTCCTTCTTGGAGCTGACAGAATCTGACAGTGGATCAGAGCAGCTTTACGACAAAGGGCATCATGACTTTCTTCCATTTGGCCTCCTTTCTCCACCCCAGCAGACCAGCCCCCAAGCTGGGCCACATTATTGCCACTGAGAGAGACTGCTCTACCTCCTCAGAAAGCCCTAAACTCTGGCAAGGCAAGGACATGACAAGGGGTCATGGGACAGAGCTGAGGACAAGTCAGGTTCTTCACCCCTCTGGCCTCAGTTCCTTATCTGTTAAATGGGATACCATCACCACCAATTGGAGTGGAGTTGACCTCGTCTCATGGTAGCTCCATGTGTGTCAGGATATAACTGTTCCAGAGGGTTTTCAGTGGCTGATTTTTGGGAAGTAAGATTGTTGTTGTTGTTAAGTGCCATCGAGTTGGACCTGATTCATAGTGACCCCTCCTTGGGTTTCCGAGGCAGTATCACTATGGAAGTAGATTGCCCCATCTTCCTTCCAAGGAGTCGATGGTGGGTTTGAACTGCCAACCTTCTGGTTAGCAGTCAAGAGCCTTAGGTACTATGCTACCAGAGCTCCTGGGAGTATAGCCAGAACTTTTTTCCAAGGTGCTTCTGAGTGGACTCGAACCTTCAACTTTTGGTTAGCAGCCAAAACAAAGTGCATTGACTGCTTGTACCACCCAGAGACTTGTCAAATAAAATTTGTCCTCTTCACTGGGCTGTTGTGAAGTCTAAGCCTGGTGGGGTGGAGAGGTGGACACACACTGCCCACGAGAGCTGACATCATCACCACTTATGAAACTGTCACTAGGTCAGGACTAGTAGGGATAGGGTCCCAAAAGGGGTGTGACCAGGAAAAGGTGGATACTTGGACACATAACCTCAGTCCCAGCCATGGGATGAGTATGGTCCAGAGGGACAGCTGCAGGTAAGGGAGGCTCAAGGCTGAGGCTAGATAGGGACACCAAGAAATGGAACGGGGATGCTCAGAGGTCCATGGGATCCAGGAGAACTTATGTTTCCTTGGGCATTGGGGGCAGAGGGTGCCTCAATTTACAGCCAGAATCACCCATGGCCCTTGAAGGCCCTTCTCTTAATTCCTCTGTCCCTATTCCCCACTTCCCTCTCCTACATCCTAATATGTTTAATGCATAGTCTTTGTGTCTTCTTCCAAAATGCGTGTTGTTGAACTTCTAAAAAAATTTCTTTGATAACATTAGAAGGCTATGTAATTATGTCATAAATAAAAGTGATCCTTTTCAAGTATGATGGCATTAGGAGGAGGCATGGGCTCCAGGGTGGGGAGGCCCTTATGGAGAAGTAGAATTTGGGAAGGAGTGCTCAAAGGGTCATGGCCCAACTGCTCCATGGGAGAAAGATGTGGCAGTCTGCTCCTGTAAAGATTACAGCCTTGGAAACCTTATGGGGGGCAGTTCTACCGTGTCCTATAGGGTCGCTATGAGTCGGCATTGACTCAAGGGTTTGTTTTGTTTGTTTGGCTCGAAGCGTGGGTCATAGCTAAAGAGAGAAAGTGAGGAGGGATCGGTGGTCTAGGCAAGCAGCACAGCACAAGCAGAGGTGTGGAGGTGGGAATAGTGTAGATGAGGAGAGGGCTGGACCCCAGGCAGTGGGAGGAGTGGTGGGAGAAGTGATTGGGAGGGTGCATGGCGCTGGCACCTGTTGACTGTTCAGGAGTCTAGACTTGGTGCCATAGGTGGGGCAGGGGAGCTACAGGAGGTACTTGTGCAGAGCAGTGTCTGTATGGAGGGGGGTTTTTGAAAAAGCCACCTCCTGACTCCTAGGTACCCCTTGTCTCTCCTTCTAGCATTGGCCACCAAACAGACCTACGTCACCTATACCAACCATGCAATTTAGCAAGGCCGCTGGAACTGAGCAGCAGGAGGAAGACCTGAGACCCTTGTGGATGGTACATCAGGCCAGGGCCACATCCAAGGGCCTCGCCGATGTCCTGCCTGCCCGTGGGTGCCCACAGACGTGGCTTGGTGCTGAGGACAGCAAAGCCCCTGGTGGTCACTGCTGGGCAGCCTGGGCAAGCCAGGTGGGCAGCAGGAAAAGAACAAGGGGCCAGGGCAACTCAGCCAGCACCCCCCCCCCCAAGAGCCTGTTCTAGGACCATTGCCCTTCCGGCCCCTAGCTATGGGGGCTCAGGTGTGTGGGCCCAGTGCTGGTTTCCCTCTGTTCTCCGTTCCTGTCTGTTCCATGGGTGACTCTCTCTGTCGCTATCCTTGCCTTTATTTCCTCTTATCTCATTGTGTTACCTCCTTTCACCTTTCTTGTATTTCTGTTTTTTCTTTCTGACTCTTGCCTCTGCCTCCTTGTCCACTGCCCGTCTCTGTTCTCTGTTTTTCTCTTGTACTACCCCTGTGTCTCTCCTCCCTTGTGTTTTTCTTTCCTGTCCTCTTCAGTCCACTTCCTGGCCTTCATTTACGTCCACTTGCCCTGTCACGAGTCACCAATTCGTACGTGTCGCAAAAGAGAAAAAAGGAAAAAGAAAAAAAAAAAAAAATCAAAACACAAAAAAAAGCCAAAACAAAAACAAATCTCGAGTGTGTTGCAAAGTGCTGCGTCCTCCTGGTGGCCTCTGTGTGTGTCCCTGTGGCCCGCAGCCTGCCCGCCTGCCCCCGCCGTCTGCCCTGTGTCCTGCCCGCCTGCCCGCCTGCCCCTCCTGCTGACCACACGGAGTTCAGTGCCTGGGTGTTTGGTGATTGGTTACTGATGACAATGTGTAGCGCATGATTGTTTTTATACTAAGAACATTTCTAATAAAAAGAAACACATGGTTTTGCACCCTGGCTCCACATCCACTGAGGGTCCTGGCTATGTGGGACCACAGGGTCAACCTGAGGCAGAAGGGATGCTGTTAGAAGGAAGGAGGAACTGGGTGATGGGGATGCAGGGCTTCGGGTTGGCTGAGGCTGCTCCCTGGGCTGGGGATAAGTGGAGGTGTGGTGAGGTGTTGAGCAGGAGGCAGGTTTCCAGGTAAAGGACTGGGGCATTGCAGACTTAGCAGATCAGCACTTGGTGGTCCCCTAATTAAAGGGGGTGCTCTGTCCCCTGGCCTGCAGCCCTGGGGGTGGGTACCATTTCTCCACCACTCCTCCTCTCTCACGTCCCTCACGTTGGGTACCACACTCACACCCTCAGCTAGGAAGCTGTTTTCCTGAGAGATTGGTTTCCTGGGCTGTCAGCACCCACATGTCTCCTTCCCCGTCTTCCAATTCCAGGTGCTAAGATGATGTGTCCCAGAGGTCACTGTGTGCTGCATGTCCCTATGTGTGTCCTTGACTGTACCTTGGTCCCCAAGTCCACAGTGGCACTGGTGTGTGGGGATGTGGTCACCTCAGCTTGAATGTGTGTGTGTGCTTTGGGTGTCCGTCTTTGCTCTTGGCACTTCCATATGCACTCTTGTCTTGTGTGAGTGTCTGGATGCCTATCTAGTTAGCTGATGTGGGTGTGAGTCCACATCACAGTCGGATCGTGAGGACTCCTGACGTAGACTGGTGGTTGGTATGGTGGTTCACCGTAGCTGGCTTTTTGGCAGGTGGGGAGTGGTGGAGGGGCTGGGCTCTGCCAGGCGGAAATTAGAGAGCCCCGTGACACAATGAGTCCGCAGCAGCTGGAGCCCAGCCTTCCTGTGCCACCCCCTGCTGCCATGCCCCTACCCTACCCCCAGGCCTGGCGCCTCCCACTTCCATGCTGGCTGACAGGAATATAGGAACAGTGAGGGCCTGGAGGAACTGGGTATGGGGGTGTGTGTGGGGGGGATGTGTGGAGGAGAGGTTGAGAGCATTAACTCCTGCCAGATGTTAGTGCCCCTGATAAGCCCACCCTTACTTCTGATGTCACAGGGGTCTCAAATACACCTATGCTCAGGAAAGCTGCTTTCTCTCGAGGGTCTGTGTGTGCAGTGCATGGCCCCCAGTATAAAGTCAACAAAGACGGGTGTAAGAAAAGCAGGAGGAAGGGAGACTATCTGTCACTCACCATCTTGCAGGATGGTCCCTAAGATTGCCATAGAATAGATTCCCCTGTCCCTTAGTCCCCGTCAGACAAAACTAGCTGTTTGACCAAGGATATTTGCTAGACGCTTCCAGGGCAGTGTGTGTGTGTGTGTGTTTTAATGTGAGAAGGTGAGGTCCAGCCAGCTCTCCCCCTTAGCGATTCCCTCATACCCCTCTGTCTCTGCTCCTGCCTGGCTACCTTGCCCGCTCTCTTGCCCACTCCCCTTTGGAGGTGATTGAGGCGCTGAGGCCCAAGGATAGAGGCCCTGGCCTAGACCGCAAAGTTTGATGCTGAGCCCAGGACTTTGCCAGGTCCCCCACACTTATGGGGCCCCCCATCTGGGAGGGTGAATGTACCTTGTATGGGAGCTTTTTAGGTTCCTGAAAGGGAGACTCACCTTTTCTCCAAGGGGGGTGCTGCCCCCTCTGGTACCCTCAGCACTCAGGAGAGGGCAGAGGCTCTTGATACCCAGGGGGGAAGGGAGCCAAGGTCAACTTTTAAGGCCCCTGTGCAGAGGATGGGAGGAGAGGCTGAGGGAGCAGGTCAAGGCCCAGCAAGGTCAGGATGGGGCTTAGGCCCATCAGGTATCCCTGAGGTTGATCTGGTGTACCTTGCTTAGGGCTCTGAGAATGGAGGAGCAGTTAGGGGGTGAGGGGGTATCTAGCCCCCTGCCCTCAAGGGGCTTCCACTCTGATGGAGAAGACACAGCTCTCAGAGAGCCAAATTGAGCCCAGAAATGCTGATGGTCCTATAGTCAAATAATGATTGAAGGGGTAGGTTAAGTAGGGAACCCTTGGGTGGGGCATGAATTCCGAGCAGCTGAGGATGGGGTGGTGTACTGAGAAGTGTATGGACTTTTTAAACATTTGCACATCAGACCTGCACCAGCAGTTTCATCTAGAAGGCACTGGCTAGTAAAGCCAGGGCTAAGGGTCCCACAGACATCCAGGTGGGACCTGCTCCCATGCGTGGATGGGTAGAAAAGGCCTGGGGCCCTCCCTGGGCCTTCAATCTCCAACCTAAATTACTAACACCCCAGCTCCTGTGGGGCACTCAGGAAATGTGGGCAGGTGCTTAGTGCCCTCAGATATTTCATATTTCAGCAAGATGGGGTTCTATAGGGTTCTTGGGTAGGGAGCTGGAGGACCCAGAGACCTTGGCTCTGCAAAAGGGCTGCTGGGACTCTGCCAGGCTCTGTGCTCACTGTCCTCCTTCTAGGACCTGGCCTCCCAGCAGGAGGGCCGGAGGAGAGATGCTACAGCCCCCCAGGGCTGCAGTCTCCTCAAGGGTAGTCAAGATTGTATGCACAAGCATTCACTTTCAAACCAACACCAGAGCTTTTAAATCATATAGATGTCTGGGCCCTTGCCCAGACCACTTGGACCTGAATCTCAGTGGGTGGGCTGGGCAGGTGTGTTTAAAACCTCCCCAATGGAGTCCACTATTCAGCCAAGATTCCTCTGAGAACCCCTGGCAGGTGGTTTCCAAACTTTTCTGGCTGCAGAATCCTGTCTTTAAGCCAGTTGTACTCCAAGTGTGGTCTTCAGATCACTAGCAAACTTGGGAGCTAATTATCAATGCAAATTATGGGCTTTACCCTAGATCTCCTGACTCTGAAACTCTAGGGATGGGGTCCAGGGAGCTCTGATGGCACAGTGCCTAGGCATTTGACTGCTGAAGGCTGGTGGTTCAAACCCACCAGCCACACGTCGGAAGGAAGACTAGACAATCTACTTCCATAGAGATACCATTTTGGAAACCCAAGAAGGGGTCTCTATGAGTTGGAACTGACTCGATGGCAGTGTGTGTGTGTGTGTGTTTTTTTTTTTTTTTTTTAACCTAAAACTAATAGTATATGGAAAAGCCAATGTGTGATTAACTTTTGGACAGAGGGGATTTTGAGGGAGGAGTCCAGGCCTAGGTTTGCCAGGGGTTTAGGGGATTCCTGGGACTCAAGACTTTCAGTGCTAAAACCAGGAAAGTTCTGGACAACCAAGATGAATTGGTCACCCTATCAGCTCTCCTTCCTTACTCATTCATTGTACTAGTATTAAGGACCTACTATGGGCCAAGCCCCACATATGCAGTGGTGAAGAAAACAGATACGGCACCAGACCTTGAAGCTTATGAGAAGCTTATGCTCAATCAAGAACTAGTCCAAGCTCAAACTCAAGACTCAATCCAGAAATGGGACCAGGCTGGTCAGGTTGCTACCAGTCCCAAACAGGAAGCTATTGAGCTACCAGTCAATCTGGGCACAAGGACCCCTTTGTGGAACTCCTAGGATCTTGGGGAACCCATTTTTAGAAGCAATGGACAAGCTGGAGTCTCAGGTTCCATCTAGCTCAGATGGGCTGATTCTGAGTTCTAATGCTCCATGTGTGTTTCTTGCATCCTGTCTTTTCACTCCTGGGAGCCAGAGGCAAATGAGGAGAGGATCCCAGAGCCCACAGAAAGATAATGAGCTTCCAGGAGGCTGCGTGGCCCCTCTCCCCAGCCAGAGGACGGGCCGTGGGTCATTCTTTCAGATGTTCTCACTGGAGTCTCTCTGCCCCCTCCTCCCAGCATGGTTTTCCATCTGCCCACTGAATATGGAAAAGAGACTGAGGCTCTCTCACTGGCCCCTTGGGCTCCTCTCTGCCTTCTTGCCTGTTCTGTGCTGCCCTGCTTGGCTCCACAGGGCTTGGCCCTGGCACTCTGAACCTCATAGGGCCAGGCCTCCATCCCCACTACAGACAACCCAGCACCGGCTGGCACAAGGCGCCAAAATCTCACTTCAGTTGGCAAAAGCAGCAATTAGCATCTAATGAGGCTTCTTGCTTTATTTTTAGGTAACCTCCAAGGCCCTGCCCGTGTAATTCAGCCCGCCATTGCTCGGCAGATAATTAAAGCATGTCACCATAATTTGCCTTTCTTTTAAAATAAAGCCCCACAATTATGTTTTTATTGCTAGTGAGGGGAGAAGAGAGGAAAAGGAAACAGAGAGCGGTGAGGTTGGGCAGGAAATGGGGTTTGGCCAGCTCAGCCAGGCTCCTCCCACTTCATGAGCAGAACTGTGTTACCCCCTGGGTCCTACTTAACTTCCAGGGTTTGCCCTGGGTAGTTTCTTCCATAAATCCCCTTCCTGTTGGCTACCTTTGTCCACACTTCTGGAGCCCTGCTCTTCCAGGTTCAGTGAAGGCCTTCCTCTTCTTCCCCTTTCTTAATAAAACCAGTCATAGTTTGGTTCAAAATAATCCAGTGGGCAGGG